GCCCCTGTTCCGGAGTACAGTCTGCTGTGCTCCAGGACACAGAGGACTCTATAAATGCTCCTGGATGAACGCGTTCCCTACAGAGTAGGGTCTGCTGGCGCTCATTTCACGGGAAAGCAAAACCAGGTCTAGCCCCTGCTGGCCTCCCTGGCATCGTGCCGAGCACTGAGGCTGCCTCCTGCTGGTGTCCACAGGCATCAAGACCTTGGAGGAGCAAGTCTGGGGCAAAGTGTCAGGGCCAAGGTACAAGTCGAGGGTGTCTAGTAGTGACAGAGGGAACAGACGGAGGCTTGAAGGGCACAACTGCATGGGCAGAGGCCATGGGCAAAGGTGGGGAGGAGTCCTCCATGATCCAAGCCTGGGTGGCTTCTGGCTGTCCCTTTGTTTGAGGGCATTGGGAAGACAGGCACTGATGGAGTCCTTGTGAGAAAAGACGCACAGGGCCACTCAGGTATGCTGGTAGTGAGTGGTGAAGACAGCTGGATCCCACATGGCCCACATGGTTCAAGTCTCAGACCTGTAGCTTGAAAAACATGCTGGAGGTGCTAGCAGGTAGTGTGGTGGTTAAGGCAGCTGGACTCCCACATGGCTGACCATGGTTCGAGTCCCGGACCTGGCAGCTAGCTTTCTCACTTTCCTTCTCTCTCTGGTCAACTTAAAATAATGACAATGAATAAAATGAAATAATTTTTTTTTTGGAGAGGTTTTTGCTATAGAGCATGTGCACTCGCCAGACAGAGAGACAGAAAGCGAGAAATCACCCTCCAGGGGGGATGGCCACGCTGCAATCCCTTCTCCTCCATTCTCCTCTTGGGATCTTGGGTATGCACACACATGTGGCCAGCATGAGTTTAAGCCACTGGGCCCAGGACTCGAAACACGGTCGACTACGTGGGAGTTCAGTGACATAGCCATTACTCTAACTGTTGGTTCCAAAATGAAATAATAATTCTAAAAAAAAAAAAAAAAAAACAAAAAAAACATGCTGGGCACTTGTGCACAGGTGACCACAATCCTGACAGGAGGGAGAAATGGAGGAGGGACAGTGGAACCCTGGCCTATGGGGGTGCTTTGTCTCTGTTTCTCTGAAGCAAGTGCACACACACCCTCTGGCAAATTAAAAAAAAGCTGGGGGCAGCAGGTGGTATGGTGGTCAAGGGTGTTGGATTCCCACATGGCCAACTGTGGTTCAAGTCCTGGACCTGGCAGCGTGCTTTCTCTTTCTCTGTTTCTCTGTCCAAATTAAAAAATAACAAATGGAATTAAATAAATAGGTCTTAAGGAAAAAAAAGAAAAAAGGAAAACAGATTCTTAGGGACCCCTGAGTTTTGTAATCAGCCTCTTTGTACCAGAGGAAGAATAAGTCCTAGGCTTCCAGCCTGGAGAGTAGAGACGCCACCATAGCCCTAGGAAGGAGCTGCTTAGGACTGGGAAGGGGCTAGCCCTGCCTGCCACTCTGCACCCCTACCTGATCTCCCCAGGTTTCCTTGCCTTTTGTAATGCTGCCTGCCTTATCATCAGCTCCTGAGTATCCTTGAGTGTACAGTTTTGAGCTCTCCTCCTCCAGGCAGCCTTCCTGGTGACCCCTCAGGCAGAGAGCATTCTCTCCTTTTTCTGTGCACCATCAGCCAAGGACCCCCTTCTGACTGGGCCCATCCTGGCCAGGTCTATTCTGCCCACTCTCACCCCCCCAGGTTGGGTGGAAGAGGGAAGGGATGAGGAGGAGGCTCTCAGATCCTGGGGCAGAATGGAGACCCCCAAAGATATCTAGTTCCCAGTTCTTAGAACCTGTGACTCTATACCTGACATAGCAAAATGGTCCTGACAGTGCTATGCTGCTGGCTTTGAAGGAGCCAAAAGCCAGGAAATGGAGCTCTAGGAGCCAGAACAGCTAAGGAAATGGCTTTCCTCTTGGAGCCTCCAGAAGAACCCAGCGCATGGACATCAGACCTCTCAGCTTTAGCCCAGTGAGGCAGACTGGGCTTCTGGGCCACAGGGCTGCAGGGTGAAGGATGGCGAGTGTGCAGTCCAAGGAGCTGGAGAAGACGGATCCAGACCTTACCTTGCCCTTGCCCCCAGGCTCCACTGCCCTGTGGGTGACATCCGCCAGGTGTGGACCAGGAACTGGTCTGGAAAGACGCCCTTGGACTCCCCGCTGCTCTTTCCCACCCACAGCATGGGCTACTAGCACCGCAGAGCGCCTGGGCCCAGGGCAAGCCTCAGTGCCCACAGACTCCGGGGCCACCTCCTGGTCCCCAGTCGCTATTTAGCACCCACTGTGTGCCAGGACACACGTAAACAGATCACGCAGCAGTCTCCAGCTGCACAGAAGTAAATGCCGGGTGCCCACCCCCAACACATGGCGCCCCTCCCTGGAACAGGGGAGGCCAGACAGAGAGGGCAGTTGTCTCCTCCATGATTAGAAGGAAAGCTTCTGGGAAGAGAACCAGAGTCTACAGACTATTTTCTCTGGAGGTCGCTGTCCACCCAGAAGGCTGTCCTCAATGTTGGGCACAGAGGGAAGTGGAATAGTGTGAGGGAGCCCTGGCAGAGGAAGTGCACGAATGGGTCTCAAGAAATTAATTGGGCGCGATGGGGGCTTGCTAGCAGGAGAGGGGCTAGGATCCCTTGGGCCAGGGAGGTCTAGAACCCGACCCAACCCACGCACCAGTCTCTGACCTGGGGGTGGCCTGGGCCTCCATCAGCCATGACTGGGTCTTTGAGGCTCCAGGAGCAGTCTGGGAGTCAGGTTGGGACTCACCTCCAGGTCAGGCCACCCCACCCCAAGGCCGAACCCCAGTCAGGTGTGCAAGGTGGTGACTGCCTCTCCAGCTGCATGTGCCCTGGGTCCCACCCAGGCCCAACCCGCTGGCATCAGAGTGAAAGCACAAAGCAGGCAGCCCTGCCCTGCGATGGCCGGATATGGCCAGGCAAAGACGGGGGAGCTTTGCCCTCCAGGGTGAGCAGGCCCGCAGGGGCAGCTCGGTGCTGGCCGGGGGCGTCCTAGGGCTCTGTGCACATCAGGGCTGAGGCCGCCTATTTAGATTCCCTCCAGAGATGCGGGTGTACACGCCAACTGGATCCCCAGGGAGCAGGACCAGGGCACCCTCAACTGGGCGGTGGGAAGCCATCAGAGGTGGCCTCCAGGGTCACAGGAGGCCCCTTGATAGTCCCCTGACTCCCAGGTGGGATGACCGCCATGGCTGCTCTTTGAGAGGGGAAGCGTCGGGGAAGCTCCTGTGGGTCCCAGTCCGGAAAAGTGGTTGTTTGCCACACACCCTGCCAAGGCCCCCGGACAACACAGAGGTCCAGGGCCTGGGCGCCCGCCTGTAGCGCCGACTTTTATTGCAGCCTCCACGTGCTCCTCCTGCGGGCACGCAGGGCCGGGGCGGGGTCAGTCTCTGCCGCCCACGTGCCATCTGGGGGCCTGCCCAATGTCCCATCGATCGCTGCTGGCGCCTCTGGGCCCGAGTCGGATTCCAGCGCGTCCTCCGCAGCCCCGGGCTGGACGCTGTCCTGGTCTGCGCCAGCCGGCTTGGGCGTCCAGGGCGCCCCGGGTGTGGGCGGAGGCGGGAACCAGGAGAAGCCGGGCGGCGGGGCGAGCGCCACCAGCTGCG